AGGGTTTGGAAGGTGCTGTCTGAGGAAAGGGTTTGGAAGGTGCTGTCGTGGAAATTGCAGAATTTCAAGTCAGCTCTGTTCTATTCTTCATTTCATCAGATAAACAATTAGGGTGGCATGGTGGCACACTGGTTAGCACTGCTGCCTTACAGCACTAGGGACCTGGGTTTGATTCCCAGCCTCGGGTGACTGTCTGTGTGGAGTTAGCACATTCTCCTTGTGTCTGTGTGGGTTTCCTCTGGGTGCTCCAGTTTCCTCCCACAGTCCAAAGATGTGCAGGTTAGGGTGGATTGGCCATGCTAAATTGCCCGTACTGTTCAGGGAGGTGTAGATAAGGGGGATGGGTCTGGGTGTGATGCTCTGAGGTTCGGTGTGGACTTGTTGGGCCGAAGGGCCTGTTTCCACACTGTAGGGATTCTATGATCTATTCTATGAAAAAGCCTCTTTTTAAACATTCTCCTTCTTCAGAACTGGGTCAACTGAATGGACGGAGTGAATGAGTGAGGTCAGCTCAAACTCTTGCCTTCAGCAAGAGATATGTTTCCTGCTGAAAAAAGGTACAGCTACAGACAATGGCTGAGAGCGGGGTACGTTGCCTCTGGTAATCAAATAGTCTAGGGACACATGAAATGAACACTGGGTAAGGCACCAGCTGGCTGTCAGTAACTATGAAATTTTACCTTGGAGAAGTAATTGGTGTCTTCCGGAGGAGTTAAAAAGGGAAATAAACTACCAGGAAAACAGAGCTGTCAATGCGTTTTTAAAAATCTTTCAGTTAGAAGCTCCCCTGAAAAACTGGAAGCAAATCTCACTCCTTTCTCGTGGAATACAGTATTGTTGCTTCATAATTCTTTAGGGAATACTTGCATTGCGGCCCCTGCAATAGAAGGTGCATAGATCGTAAAACTAAGATTTGCCTCCACCCAGTGGCTAATGGCTTCAATAATAATGAAAATAACACAGAGGAACTGACCAGCAATTCACAATGGAGTACACAGCTCGATGGACAGAGAGCAAATCAACTTCCAATGAACCAGTGGATTCTGGTGCTAACCGATGGTATCTTCCACCACACTCAAAAGAAGTGAAATATAACTAAATAAAAACCAAAAGAACTGTGGATGCTGTAAATCAGGAACAAAAACAGAAGTTGCTGGAAAAGCTCAGTAGGTCTGGCAGCATCTGTGAAGAAAACTCAGAGTGAATTATAACTAAAGTTAACCCCACTCCTACCTTTCTTGCTCTGAAGTAGCACTTTGTTGTAACAGTGTTTGGAGCAAAAGGCGTGTTTTTGTCGCGCCATGTGAAATAAACCAGCTTATAGTCTCCAAGTGTTATGAATTTGATTATACCAGACAGTTATAGAGACAACTTGTACTCTGTTCAAACAACAGTCCTTAACAGATTCAATGGAGGACCGGAATGTGCAGTTGGTAGCAGATTCTCCCCAATCTTTCTTAAAGTGTGTAATTTCTCTGATCAGCAAATGCCCCTGGAGTGCTGACAGAGGAGGCATGGTCATTGCTAGAGACCACACATTTCTGCAAGGGGTCGTATAGTTTTCTTTTTGGTGACTATAAACTGAAATGGAAGTGGACTGCTATAACTGAAACACTAGAATTTTACAATTTGAAAATCAAGTGCTACATATTTTTGGAGCCAGGCAATTTAATTTGCTTTCTGAAGCCAGGAGAGAGAGCATTCAACAGCATTGAGAGTCTTGAGTTAAGGAAACGTTTCCTCGCAATAGTCCTCTGGTTGGTTGAGCTTTAGAGTGTTAAAAAGCTGTAAATTGCAGAGCAGCAGAGGACAGAAACACCCAGAGCCAGCAGTTAGAAATCATCCATATATCTCTCTCCCCAAGTTAAGAAAGCTTAAAAGAAAGAATTTTAAAATTTTAAGACCTAGGTCCACCTGTTTGACCATCAAATCAAATCACCCTACAGACAATAGCATGTTTCATTGCTAAAATCAAACAAACAGAGAAAATATCTTTCCACCTGGCTGTTTGAATGTTTGATTTTAGAATGTTGTTTACCCTGTATATATTCTTTCTCACCTATAGTATCTGTGATAAACCCTGTGTCTTTTATCTGTCTTAATCATGATAATGTGTGTGTATGTGTGTATTTAGGGTCTTTGAAGGGGTGTAGTTTAACTTGCATAGTAATAAATTAGAAATAGTTTATTTTGTCTGCTTTTACTGGAGTTAAGTGTGTCAAAATAAATAGAGTTATTTCATATTAATGACGAAAGCTAGTGTGAATTGTTTTTGCTCAAGTAACAGGCAGTCAGGAAAATCCATCATTTTGGTGGTCTCATTAGGATTTTACACATTTTTACATTTAATGAAGGCTTGTGGAACAGTGAGACATGATTATCAGTGCTGTCTTCCCGGTTAAGTTTTCATATTTCCACTAATCCTTTATCAACTTTAGGAAAAACACCACCAATTAGTATGTCTGATTGAGAAATGGTCTTCACTCAGAGTCATACATTCATAGAGTGTAGAAACAGACCCTTTGGTCAAACCAGTCCATGCCAACCATAATCCCTAACTAAACTCGTCCCACCCGCCCGCTCCTGGCCCATATCCCTCCAAACATTTCCTATCCATTTGCTTATCCAAATGATTTTTAAATGTTGCAACTATACCCACATCCATTACTTTCTCTGGAAGTTTATTTCACACACGAACCACTCTGTGTAAAAAAATTGGCCCTCTTTTCAAAAAATCTTGCTTCTCTCAGCTTAAAAATATGCCCCATAGTCTTGAAATCCCCCATCCTAGGGAAAAGATACCTGCCATTCACCTTATCTATAGCTGTCATGACTTTATAAACCTCTAAACGGTCATCCCTCAACCTCCTGTGCTCCAGTGAAAGAAGTCCCATCTTATCCAGCCTCTCACCATAACTCAAGCCCTCCATTCCCGCAACATCCTGATGAATCTCTTCTGAACCCCCTTCCAGCTTGATAATATCCTTCCTATAGCAGGGCGACCAGAACTGGACACAGTACTCCAGAAGAGGTCTCACCAACATCTTGTACAACCTCAACATGATGTCTCAGCTCCTATACTCAGAAGTCCACTCCACAAATGAGAAATCAATATTTCATGTGTATTACACAGCTCAATTGAAAATTCTCAAGTATTAAACTGCTGCTTCAGTTGGGAACCTAATCAGTTTAAAAAGTGACCCAAATGTCACTGGAGATTATAGCAAACAGTACTCCGAAACCAGACACTGTCACTGGCTCAACATTTGGTACAGAGTTAGAACTCCTTTCATAGGAAGGTCAGGTTACCCAAAGGGTAAATATCAATCCAGAGCAGTGATACCTTTCAGCAACACATCAGTAAAGACAATTTGGAAATCACTGTCAAACCAAACAATTCCAATGTCTCACAGGAAAAAGTCCATTTGTCTCCACCTGCCTGCGGATTACTCTTCCTCATTTACCAAACAGCCATTCATGCCATCAACACAAATTCAAGTCCAGGG